AGTACACAACGTCTAACGGCGCATAGTATTAAATGCAAAACATAAACGAAAGGCGAAAAAAACGAACTTACAATGCTCATTATGATAACAAATGTTCACACGACGTGACACTTTGTTGGTGCCAAGCGTATTGGGACGTTCCAATTTGGAATTCTGTATATGTACGCCGTCATGCTGATCACGACTGCCAGAAGTGTTGCCACTATTTCCGTTGCCGCCATGGCCACCACCGGTACCACCACCACCACTGACGTGTTGCACGTGAGTGTGATTCGATTGCGGGCCACCGCTTTGGCCGCCACCTGGTGGTGGCAACATTGAACTCTGACATGATGGCTGTTCGGTATTGGGTGATAGTGTGCCATTACCACCGTGTGGTGCATCAGTCTTGTCTTTTCTGGGTTCTGTTGAGGAGAAGAAAAGTACGGCGTGAGAAAAGTGTGAGTAAAAAAAGGGTGGTCGCAGGCTGTGTTAGGTAGTTAGTTAGTTAGTTAGTGTGTGTGTGTGTGTCTGTCGCAAATGTGTGAAAATGATTTCATTATACAAGAAGCTTAATATTTTTTGTTTCAAAATATTTAAAAAAAAAATTATTTAGTATTGCAGGGAGAGTTTTATGCGATCGAAGTCGGTTCAGAAAAAATAAAATTCCGGATGATTCATAGCAATTTTAAATGGCAGCATAAAAAATTTCGGTCGAGCCTTTTGAGCTATTTTATTCTTCTGTTGAATTTTGTTCCTATATGGAGGAAATAAATATTTCTCCGATAGCTTCAGTAATTATAAATTTTGATTTCTTTTAAAGTCCTATAAAAATCTGGAATTATTAAAATCATGTAATTGTAATGTAATGTAATGTAAATTAGGCTAAGAACACTTCCCTATGTTGCAGAGAGACACCTTTGTATGAATGACTTTATATTTCCAACTTTCGTTTTGAATATATTTTAGGCCTACTTATTCGTAGATCTTCTAATAAAGCTTCTAAGAAAACGGTATAATTGAAAACACCCAAGCTGAAAGTAGTGATTTTAAAGCGCTCTTCAAATTGCCCGCTGGGTATCCGACTCCAATATGAATGTGGTTTGATTCTGACCAAAAATTATGATTATCACCAACACTAACTGACCAACGTATCATAATTTATTCAACACTGCTAAACTGTGCTGTGGTCAAACAGCGAAAAGAAGGATATGGATGGAAGCGGAATTAAACAAATGTGCGGTTTTTAAGCCATAAATGTCAGGACGGTGTATATACAATTTTTATGACCGCCATTAATCAGACGAATACATGCAAATACATGCATATGTAAGATATATATGCATGCACATTAGGGTGGTCCAAAAACAGTAAAGTCGGAATTTTTAATGCCCTCACCCCCTAGGATTGTCTATATAGAAAAGAGTATACCCTAATTTTTATTTTCAAATCAAAAAATATTTAGAGGTCCCCCCATTGCATTTTTCGGGGGTTTTTGTGGGTTTTTGCCACATGAAAAAATGATTAGTTGCTATGAAAAAATGGTTAAATAAATAGCTGGATATTATTATTGGAAATCTCCGGAAGAGAGCCAGAGTTTTCCGATCGAAAAATATCGATTTTCAGGAATCCCGTACCATTTCTACGCAGTTTTTTTTTGCCCATATTAAACTCATGGAAAACTTTGAGCGTTTTGAGAGATCACTAAATATTTTTTGATTTCAATAAAAAATTAAATTTTTTTTCGATATATAACAATCGTAAGGGGTGAGAGCATACAAAATCCGACTTTACTTTTTCATATGCATTTTTGGACCACCCTAATGCACATACTTAGAAATGTGAAAGTACAAAAACACGAATAGGCATTGCACATACAGTGACGAGCAAAACTGTAACATGGAGTAACACTTTTTATTTCAGCTGTCGCTATCTTTCCAAGTTTTAACGACATTCATACGGTTGTTGTATATTTTTATTGGTACATCTTTGCTTCCTCTGTCATAACGATTTGAAGTCAATTCAACAACATTTACAAAACCAGCAGACAAAAATGTAAATTAAGGCATATGTTACAGTTTTGCACTCATATATTTTTAATAACTTTTTGACAATTTTCATAAAAAAAAAGAATTATTAACCCAATGTTCAGTATGCTTTTGCTTTATTTAGTTCCTGGTTGCAATTTGGCATACCTAATGTGTATGTCTGTAAAAATTCAGGAGGTATAGCCTCCCATATATCCTTGGTGTGCTTTCACCGCTCATGTACTCCATTGGACGGACGTGGCTACTTAGTAAGATGCGCTTTTAGTTGATTTCGCAAATTCTCGATGAGATTCATGTCCTCGGATTGTGGAGGTCATTTCAAATTAGCAAATTTCTGCTTTTGTTCCAGTCTTTGCGAACATGTGCAGTGTGTTTTGGTTGCTTTTTCAGCAGAAACTCTAATTTTTTCGACTACATCTTGCAAATTTTGTTAAAATATGAACAGATACTGTTCCTTACGCATAATGCGTACAAACGGATCAACAACATTTTTGAAATACAACCCCAAAAGTAATATTGACCGACCACTGTGATTCACAGTTTGCCTTACATGATGCGCTTAGGCTTAATTTGGGCCTTTGATCCAATACCATGCCCGGCCATCTGATTGAAAGCTATTAATTTAGTCTTGTCAGACCAAATAACCCTCAATTAAATCTTAAAAATGTGTTTTTTATTGCATTCTGTAAGGCCTAACATATCCCAATAGGCAACGGTCCGGTTTTCGTGCGATGCAGCAAAACGCTGCCACACTCGCACATGTATTTTGATCAAATTTGCTTTTTTCTTCTTTTATGATCCATTTTGCTCAATTTGGCAATTTTTCGCCTCACTATCTACTGATTTGCATTCAATTTTAATACCTTAAGCGCTTCTGTAGTAGTGCCTGCAGCGCTACTTGCTACTAAGCTCACAAGATATCGGACTGTAATATATTTTGACAGACTTTCTTTGTCCTTAGTAACACTTTAGGCTATATTTTTTCTCAGTCTTAACATTTTCATGTGGCAAACTCCACGTTTTTTTTGCCACTTTCCCTGCGGTCCCGCCTTTTCGCAGTAAATCTATTATTTACATTTATGTTTCCTGATTAACCACATTATTTATTGGTGATCACTTCTTGAATAAATTACAATACAGAAAAAAGTCATCTGACTTCCAACTAAGCAAAAGATAACTGTAAAATGCAAAACTGAGAGTGAGTGCAAAACTGTAACATTTGCCTTAACTTACATTTTTGTCTCCAGGTTTTTTTATTGTTGTTGGATTGACCTCAAATCGTTATGAGAGCGGGAGTAGGAGTGTACCAATAAGAATATACAACAAAAGTATGAAAGTCGTTAGAACTATGAAAGATAGCGGTGGCTGCAATAAAAAGTGTTACATCATGTTACAGTTTTGCTCGTCACTGTACGTACATACTCTCTTCAAACCTTCGGCAAAAAGAGATCAAAGGAGTACTTTATTTTCTCAAAGCTACTCTGGGATAAGTTGCTTCAGGGGTAAAGTGAAAAAAAAATTGTAATCATAATTCATCAATCCTGATAAATTTTTCAAGATACATATGGGTAAATCCATGTCAAATCGTTTAATGGTTGGAATCGATTATTTTTGATTTGGATGAATTTTGGTCAGCACTTTTCTTAGCATGTAACAAGGAAAAAAAATTTTTCGAAAACTAAAAATGTCACAATTTCCCCGATTGCGGAAGTTTATTTTTTGAATATCTCAAAAACTAATGTAGGTCTAAATGGTTCTGGTATCGTTTTAATGGTGATATTTAAGGCTAGGACTACATAAAAAAAGTTAATAAAATTCGAAAAATATAAAATTTAAATAATTTTGAAATTAAAAAGAATTGTATCTATATCCCTTTTTGGATTTTTATACCCGAGCGCACTTGTGCACAAGGGTATAATATTAATTTTGTTCACATAACGGTTGTTTGTAACAGCCAAAACGAATCGAGATAGATATAGACAAATGTATACATAAATGATCAGAATGAAAAAAGAAATCGATTAAGCCATGTCTGTCTGTCCGTCCGTCTGTCCGTGTACACGATAACTCGAGCAAAAATTGAGATATCTCAGCGAAATTTGGTATGTAGGTTTCCCTTAATCCAAGGTAGGTTGGTATTGAAAATGGGCGAAATCGGACAATAACCACGCCTACTTCCTATATAACGGTAATTTTCAGAAATACGAAAACTGCGATATTTTAGTAACTACTAAAGATAATTCACTCAAAATTGATATTTACAATAATTTTTAGACGAAAAATAAGAATATTAAAAAGTTTTGGAAAATGGGCGTAGCCACGCCCACTTATGGTTACATGTGTATATCTTGGTAACCGCTGCGTCAATTTCTTCCAAACTTGGCACAGTTGTTGGCCTTCGCACAACATACCAAATGGCCGAAAATTTTTATAATCGCTCAATAACCACGCCCCCCTCCCATATAACGGTAATTTAGATACATAATCTTCGATAAATCAGTAAATATTGAAGCTAATTTGTTCAAAATTGATGCTTGCAACAATTCTTTACCAAGAAATACGTTTATGGTAAAATTTTGGAAAATGGGCGTGGCACCGCCCACTTATGATCACATATAAGTATATCGGTAACTGTTCTACCAATTTGTACCAAACTCGGTGTGGTTATTGTGCTTGCCACATATGTATAAGCAAAACGTTGAAAATTATTGAAATCGGACTAAAATAACGGCCGCTTCTCATATAACGGTAAATTTCAGAAATGCTTGAAACTTCAATATTTCGAAATTGAAGGACGCTAATTTACTCAAAATTGATACACCCCGGCTTACCATCTAGCGGAAGGTTTCGGAGAGGTGAAAAAACATATATTTAATACTTGCGCCGGGTATTTAATGTTCGGATCCCCCCGAACTTAGACTTTCTTACTTGTTTTTTATACAATACCACTAACTGATCGAAAAGATATCAACTTCTGCACTGCGAATAAAATGTATTGCAAACTCCAAATTAAAAATGCATTTAAAATAAATACAAAGTTTTTGACATAACTTTATTTAGTGCCGTTTTCTCGTGTAGTTTTTAAAATTTATCTGCCCTTTAAACATAATTTTTTTACTAAAAAAGTGTTTTTAAAAGGCAGATAAAGTTTAAAACCTACATGAGAAAACGCTACACTTAGGCCCAATTTCAGATGGCCCACTTAAGTAGAGATTGTTGATGAACTTCCACTATTCATTTTCAGATCATACATTTAATCTGCACTTAAATGGCCAATATTGGCTAGTTAAATATGAGATATGCAACCCTGTACACAGCATACATTCAGGTGTTTCGTGTTAGCAGTCGCGCCTAAACCACTTTCTTTTCAAATTTTT